GCATTCCTGGTTTGGCTGGACTGAGGCTGGGGTCGGGGTAGATTCCCACCAGAGCCTGGGACAGCAGCGGGTCAGGGCTGGGGGTGGGTCTCAGGCTCCCTCACTCATTTGGAAGATGTTTCCGGAGCCTCCAAAAACACAGCGGTTAAGGAATCAGGCCCATTACCTCCCCCGTGGCCTGCAGTGAGGCAGACCACGGAAGAAGCAAAACCAGTGGGGCAGAGCAGTGATGAAGGATGCCTGGGGTGCTCTGTGGCTCAGAGGAGGTGCCTCACTGTCAGTTTGGCTGTTCAGGGGTGGCTTCCTAGAGGAGGTGGTGTCCAGGCTGAGCTGACGGATGAACCTGCGAGGGTGAGAGGCAGGGGCTTAGGGGCCAGGGCTTTTGGGGGATGTATATGCGTCCACCAGAGAAGAGGCAGGGGTTTGGGGGCCAAGGTGTTGGGGGATGTATAGGAGCTCACCAGGGAAGATGCAGGGGCCGGAATGAGGTGTGGGCTTTGGTCCTGAGAGCCATGAGGAGCTGCCAGCTGGTTCTTACAAGGAAAGGGCTAAGCCCAGATGTACAATGTAGGAAGAATTCTGGCGCTGCAGGAAGGAGGTGGTTGGAAGGGGAACCTCCAGAGCCTGGGGGATCTGGAAGACTGCCATGCAGGAAGGACAAAAGGAGACAGACATAAGGGACAGACAGAGGTCCAGGCTTCTGCGGTTGGAGGCCTGGTCACTGTTCCCAGAGAGCCAGCCTGCCATTCACCTTGGCCACCTCTCTGGCCCTTTCCTGGGCAGAAGCTGATGCAAGTCAATATTTCTGTATCAGAGGAATCAGCAGAGTGATGCGTTTCCAGAAACCCCACGAATGGCCCTGGGGAACCCCCACCCAGGTCACTGCCCCCCTGACTCATTCAGGGCCTGACTAAGGTCTCAGGATGTCCGTTGTAAACTCAAGGGGCTGAGGAGGCCAGGAGGATTTGGTACCTAGGCTTCTCCACCCTGAACAGCCCAGGGGCTGGGCTGGGACCCTGTCTCATGGAGCTGCAGGATGAGGGGAATGATAAGCTGAACCCCTCCTGTGATAACTCACCTTGAGCCCCTTCTCAACTCAGAGCAAGGATACAGTGAGTTTGCAGGGCTGGTACCAGGGACCACAAGTAGTGGGATTCAGAAGGCCCTGCCCATTAATTTCCAAAATATACAAACAGCTCATACAACTCAATAACCAAAAAACAACCCAATCAAAACATGGGCAGAAGACTAAATAGACATTTCTCCAAAGAAAACACAGAGATGGTCAACGGGTAACATGAAAAGATGCTCATCATTGCTAATTATTAGAGAAGTGCAAATCAAAACTCCAATGAGGGGCTTCCCTGGTGGCGCAGTGGTTGAGAGTCCACCTGCCGATGCAGGGGACACGGGTTCATGCCCCGGTCCGGGAAGATCCCACATGTCGTGGAGCGGCTGGGCCCGTGAGCCATGGCCGCTGGGCCTGCGCGTCTGGAGCCTGTGCTCCGCAACAGGAGAGGCCATGACAGTGAGAGGCCCGCGTACGGCCAAAAAAAAAAAAATTAAGAAAAAAAAAAAAAACGACAATGAGGTATCACCTCACATTGGTCAGAATGGCCGTCATTAAAAAGTCTACAAATAACAAATGCTGGAGAGGGTGTGGAGAAAAGAGAAAACTCCTACACTATTAGTGGGAATGTAAATTGTTGCAGCCATTATGGAGAACAGTATAGAGGTTCCTCAAAAACTAAAAATAGTGTTGCCATATGATCCAGCAATCCCACTCCTGGGCATATATCCAGACAAAACTCTAATTCGAAAAGATACATGCACCCCAATGTTCACAGCAGCACTATTTACAATAGCCAAGATATAGAAACAACCTAAATGTCCATCGACAGATGAATGGAAAAATAAGATGTGGTACATATACACAATGGAATATTACTCAGCCATGAAAAAGAATGAAATAATGCCATTTGCAGCAACATGGATGGACCTAGAGATTCTCATACTAAGGGGAGTAAGTCAAAAAGAAAGACAAATACCATATGATAAAACCTATATGTGGAATCTAAAATAGGACACAAATGAAGTTATCTACCAAACAGAAACAGACTCACAGACATAGAGAACAGACTTGTGTTTGCCAAGGGGGAGGGTGGGTAGGGGAAGGAAGGATTGGGAGTTTGGGATTAGCAGATGCAAATGAGTATATACAGAATGGATAAACAAGGTCCTATGGTATAGCACAGGGAACTAGATTCAGTATCCTGTAATAAACCATAACAGAAGGCCCTGCCCAGATTTCAACATTACACATTAATTCCTTTGACTTTTTTTAGAAACAAATTCCCTTAGGGTCCCTTGGGTCATCATCTCTTCAGTGTGAATGCTATTTTTTAAACGAGCTTTTCCTAAAAATAGCTTTTGCTCTTTTTTTTCACAAGTTTCTGCCTTTCTGTGCTCCTGCTACTTGGAATTTCCCTCCTCTGGGCCTTGGAGCATGGGGATCTTCCCGCCTGGGATGCCCTCCCCATTTTCTCACCTGTCCCTTCCTCCAGGCGGTCAGCCTCGGCCCTCTTGATCTGCTGGGGTTCCCGTGCTATGTGGGCTCTTGAAGCTTCCCAGATGGTAGCACTTGCTGTGTTCCCGGGGGCTCAGTGCTTGGCTCTGTACACCCAGTCCTGGCACACACAGTAGGTCTGTGGAATGGGCACGCAGGCTCCCCTGGAGATAGGCTGGTGGCGTGTGCCCATTTCCCGGATTGGGAAGACGGTGGTCGCCAACGTTAGCGGCCCGCCCAGGCAAGCCCCTGGCAGCCGGGCCGTGCGGGCTGACGGCGGGTCTGTGTCCCCACCCCCGCGCAGGGCGGATGGACACCTTCAGCACCAAGAGCCTGGCCCTCCAGGCCCAGAAGAAGCTCCTGAGCAAGATGGCATCCAGGGCGGTGGCGGCCGCGTTCATCGACGACACCAGCAGCGAGGTGCTGGACGAGCTGTACCGCGCCACCAAGGAGTTCACCCGCAGCCGCAAGGAGGCCCAGAAGGTGGTCAAGAACCTCGTCAAGGTGGCCGTGAAGCTGGGTGTCCTGCTGCGCAGCGGGCAGCTGGGCGGCGAGGAGCTAGCGTGGCTGCAGCGCTTCCGGCAGCAGGCGCGCCGCCTGGCCATGACCGCCGTCAGCTTCCACCAGGTGGACTTCACCTTCGACCGGCGCGTCCTGGCCGCCGCCCTACTCGAGTGCCGGGACCTGCTGCACCAGGCAGCGGGCGCGCACCTGACCGCCAAGTCCCACGGCCGCATCAACCACGTGTTCGGCCACTTGGCTGACTGCGACTTCCTCGCCGCGCTCTACAGCCCGGCTGAGCCCTACCGCTCCCACCTGCGCAGGATCTGCGAGGGTCTCACCCGGCTGCTGGACGAGGAGAGCATATGACCTCTGACCTGACCTCCGACCTCCTCGTCCGGCTTCCCGCTGGGGGCGGGGCTTGCTGGAGGGTTTTTAACCTCTTTTCTCCCAGTCTGACTCTGGCCAAAACCACCCCGCCCAACACACACGCACGCACGCACGCACGCAGGCACACACACGCGCTCTCTCTCGCGCGCGCCTCTGTAGCTCTAAGGACCCGGTCACCTCTCCTCTGGCCGAGTCTCCGTGGGGAGAGGAACTCAGCGCAGAGCCCGGCACGGCCTGCCTGCGCCAGCATTCTCCCGGGGCACCTGGAGACCACTGCCTGCTCCGGCGCACCGTCTGCACAATAACCCTTGAGCCACCGGTCTGAACCCCTCAGATCACTTGGTGTCTCTGACAGCTGGCGGCTTCCCACTTCATAATGTTGCCTGGGCTTTTGCATTCCTGCAGAGAGGATT